GTCCCCACTTTACAACCAAGGACACAGCGCTCTCCCAAGGGGATGGTCAGGGTCTGCTCTCCTTGCCATGCGGGGTGCTGTCTTGCTTTATCCTTGCATGTGCGCGTGCTCAGGGGAACTCCTTGGATCTGGGTCTTCCTTTGCTTTCTGCCCAGGAATGGGTGCTTCTGTTCTGTGTTCCACCCCTGATGCTGCAGCAAGCCTCTTGGCAGGCGGCGTAGGCTCTGCTGTTCTCTGTGGCTGAGAGAAGTCTCTTCCAACTTGGAGTAAAAATCGAAAACGTGGCCAGGCATGAGGGTGCACACCTGTGATCCAAGAAACTCGGGAGGCTGAAGCAGGAGAACTGGGAGTTCAAAGCCAGCCTCGGCAACCTATCGAAGGCCTAAGCAACATAGCTAGATCCTGTCTCAAAATAAAAAAATAAAAAGGAATAGGGATGTGGCTCTAGTGGTTAAGTGCCCCTGGGTACAATCTCTGGTGCAATAAATAAATAAAAGAATAGGAAATGTAGCTAGGAGTTGTGGTGCAAACCTGTGATTCCAACTACTCTTTAGGTTGAGTCAGGAGGATCACAAGTTCAGGGCCAGTCTTGGCAACTCAGTGAGATCCTCCTTCAAAGTAAAAAAATAAAAAAGGCTGGGGTGTGTCTTGTTGGTAGAGCATCCCTGGGTTCAATCCCTAGTATGGAAAAAAAAAATGAAAATTGTGTCTCCCAAATACACAATGCTGTTTGTTGGGTAAGAGTAACAAGCATTCCTGGGCTAACAGTGAGGCCACAGGCTGCCCAGCCCCGGGGCTCCCTAGTGTGTGCTTGAAGGTCCCTCTTGCATTTTCCTCATCTCACTTTGGTTCTATCAAACCTCAAACCCCTTCTTTCTACTTCCCAGGTGAGAACAGTGACACCTTCAGAAGTCAACTGAGAGGTCTGGGTTCATCAGTTAGGTAGAGGTATGTGTACTTTCCCCAATGCTCCTCTTTCCAGCCCAACCAATGGAAATAAATGCACAAAAATCAGAGATGGAATAATTTTCATGGTTAGTCTTGTTCTACAAGGTTGGAATGGGTTCTATTTCTTGAATTTTTAGGGCACAATTTATAATTTGTGCAAGAATTATGATTGGGCTGGGGTTGTGGCTCAGTGGTAGAGCACTCGCTTAGCATGCACAAGGCCCTGGGTTTGATCCTCAATACCACATAAAAGTAAATAAATGAACAAAATAAAGGTATTGTGTCTAACTAAAAAATAAATATTAAAAAAAGGAATTATGATTTTTCCAGTTTTTTATCACAAATAAATCAATCAGTAATACTGAGTCATATTGAAACATTTGATGATAAATATGCATACTTGAAACTTTTTTACATGCTTTAATATTTTTTTTTACTTATTTTTCATGCAGTTGTTATCACTTTAGTTTTTGAAGATGTTATTTTCTCTTTTAATTTAATTTTAAACATGTTTGTGGTAAAAGAGATTGAACTAGGGGTGCTCTACCACTGAGCTTCATCCCCAGTACTTTTCATTTTTTGTTTTGAGGCAAAGTCTTGCTAAGTCAGTGGGGCTGGCCTGGAACTTGT